AAAAGAGAGCCTTAACAATTTAACTAGAATGTGCATAACTCTAGATGACTCATTAAACAATGCTGATGATCTGGGTGTAATCTGGAGATACAGCTATTAAAAAAAACAAAAACAGGAGGGCATAGAAATAGCTCTATTGCTTGAAAAAATATTCAGTGATCACATGATAAAACAATTGTCCAAGCCTGGCTTGCAGAACAGTCATTAGGATCATTATATATGTATGTTTGTTTTGTTGATTTAGTAGTTATATCAACAATAATAAGATTATTTGTTAGCCTCAGCCTTTCTGTTCTACCTACAAAAACACACTGTGATGATCAACTCATAACAGCTAGAGTCCTGCTTAGCTTCAAAATGTATGTGAAGAAACAGACTTCACAGCACAGAGACAACACAATTATATTAGTCTGTTACTTATATTGGAGCCATGATGTCTTTGCATCAAAGTTTACAGCAGTTTAGGGCTATTTGTTCAATCTGGGTTCAATTAAACAAGAATTCCACCATCAAATCCACTTAGAATTGGAGATCGGGCCCATCCCTTGACATTACGAAAGCATTGGTCAAAACAGGATATACTGAGGCCATGGTTTCTCACTACAAATATATTCATACAATTTTTTTAAAAAATGACAACATGAAAGTTTCAGAACTGGTTGTATCTCAATCCAAAGACAATAGTACCAGACATAACTCCACTGCAATCTGTACTTTTAGAAGCTCCGCAAATACTGCATGTACACAAGATTGAACAAGTCCCAATGGAAAATCATTATTCCAGTTTCTTTGGTTAATGCAAAAGAAAAGAGAAAGTGCGGCAAGTGTCATACAATTTTTGAGGGTAATATCAAACTCAATAATAATTCTTAAGGGGAAATACATCATGCGATTATTGGCCATGAACTCTTAAAAATGTTTTAATTAAAATGCCACTTAGGGGATGCCAGCTGGTGAATATTGTTTTGCTGATGTATGGCATCTTTTCTGACACCCACAGCATGGATCCTTCTTGCCAAACTCTGTACCAAGCTCCCACAATGTCAATACCTCAAGTGTTGACGGATCACAACGTGGAGTTCTCCTTTCTTAGTAGCTTAATCAAGGCTGTGTAACACTACTGTTTTTGATCTGAAATGTTTTTCCCACACTGGGATAATTGGGTTAAAAGACAAATGGGATATATTCTATATGGAATCCATATTTGCTCTTTCGGAACGTCATGTACTTCTTTGCAGAAAGAGCTTATACAGGACAATGGTCCAACAAGATGTTAGTAATCAGTGTTGAAGTCACCATAATAGTCTCCCAAAATCCAATACTCTAGATCCGTGATGGTGAACCTATGGCATGTGTGCCACAGGTGGCACACAGAGGCCTCTCTGCAGGCACGCCAGTCGTCATCCCAGCTCAGCTCCACTGCGCATGCACGCAGGTCTCCCACCAGCCAGCTGGTCTTTGGGTCTCTGTCACACATGCACGGGGCGCAGGGCGCAGGTGGGAGACATGCATGTGCATGTTCGGGGGCAGGGCACATGCATTGGGAGTGCTCACACTGCATTTTGGGAGTTTGTGTGCTTGCACACCCCTGCACCCTGTTTTAGGCCTGGAAGTCCTCCTGCACCAACCTGGAAGCATGTGCAGGGGGCTTGGGCGCATGCAGAGGGGACATGCGCACATGCACAAGGTGGGGTGCATGCATGGGGGACGCTTGCATTGCATTTTGAGGGTTTGGGCACGCATGCATGCATTTGGGCACTCAGCACCAAAACCATCACTGCTCTAGATATTTCGTGGCATTAAGTTACAATGTACATGAGTGTGTTTTGCCCGTAGCAATTGGAAAGCAGAGCAAAGGTAGTGCAGGTAATCCTTGATTTATGACCATTACTTGACTGACCGGTCATGCTGGCCACATGACTGCAGAAATGTCTTTGGACAGCGCTGGCTCAATGGCCTTGAAACAAAGATGAGCACTGCCTCCTATAGCCGGCAATGACTTGCAGAGTAAAATCCACAGGGATTCCTTTATCTTTTACTTTATCTTTCCTAAAGCACACTCTTCCTTCACTTTAGTCGCTTCTTGGTACTGCCCTACCAATTCCAAGGTTAGTTCATTTTGCAGCCTTTCTCTGGCTGGTTATTTCAATGGGTACAAGGGCACACTTTTAAAACAAAAAAAACCTGGTGTGCCTCAATAGCAATAGCACTTAGACTTATATACTGCTTCATAGTGCTTTACAGCCCACTCTAAGTGGTTTACAGAGTCACCATATTGCCCCCCAATAATCTGGATCCTCATTTTACCGACCTCGGAAGGATGGAAGGCTGAGTCAACCTTGAGCCTCATGAGATTCGAACTGCCAAATTGTAGGCAGCCGGCAGAAATCGCCTGCAGTACTGCATTCTAACCATTGTGCCACCACAGCTCTCAAATGCCAATACCTCTTATGAGAGAAAATATCTACTATCTTAATAGGTGATATCCTATAGGACAGCTTTTTGGTGCTGAGTGCCCAAAGCGTGAGCGTGTGCACATGAATGCATGCACGTGTGCCAGAACCCCCAAAATGCGAGCGCCCCCCCCCTGTGCATGCACCTTTCACCCCGTTTTGGCTTCCAGGTTGGTGCAGGAGGCTTTCCAGGCCCAAAACAGGGTGCAGGCCCCTCTCCTGTGCCCTGTTTTGGCCTGGAAAGCCTCCTACACCAACCTGGAAGCCAAAATAGGGTGCATGAGCCCCCCCCCCACCCCCATGTTGGGCCCGGGAAGCCCCCTGCACCCATTTGCCCCCCCCCGGCCTTTGGCCCCACCCACCCCCCCCCACATGCATGTGTGTCCCCCCCCATGCATGCGCCCCACCCCCGTGCATGTGCGGCAGAGACCTGAAGACCAGCTGGCCAGGGGGAGGCGCACACGCATGCGCGGTGGAGCTGGGCTGGGCAGAGAGGGCTCTGCGTGCCCTCTGTGGCATGCATGCCATGGGTTCGCCATCATTTGGCATCACGGGGCCAAAATTATTTAATTTGATTTTATTCTATTTTTAAATTTTGTATGTATGTGTTTTTATTGTTTGGCTGTGCACCGCCCTGAGTCCTTCGGAAGTAGGGCGGTATAGAAATCTAATAAAATAAAATAAATAAATGGCTATAGGAACATGTCTGCTTGATATGGTTTTATCCAGCCTTCTTGTTCCAAAAGCTGGAGTATTTTAATATGATTATTCCATAACAGTAGGAAAAGAGGTTTTGTTTGCCAGTCTCAACTTGGGCAGTCACTGAATGCAAACTATGAGCATCCAAATATGACCCTCACCCCTATTCTTTCATCCTAGTCAGCAACAAAACATAACCAGGCTTTATTTTCTGGTCAGCAATACATTAAACAACAGCTGGGATGCCCAAATTTTTCACCAACCAATAAACTGAGTGGAACTGAAAGAAATCCCATCCAAATTAAAATTTTAAGGAATAGGTGGGAAAATGCAACACCAGTAAGTCAGGACACCCTTCTTGGCTCCAAAGCCTCTATCCAACTTATTTTGCCATATCCTGCTCAATTGCACTCATCCTGATCTTAAAAGAAAATGGTTCACTTTGGATGATCAAATTCATGTATTAAGTACAAGTAAGTTCATTTTTTCTGCTCCAAAAGGGAAGAGAACAGAATGTTCCTACCTTAACATAGGCACGCTAATGTGATTAAATGATTTTTCCTAACAAATCATCACTTTTTATACTCCTTGTGAAATACCCACAACAGAGAAGTGGTTGGGAAGATGAGAGAATTTTGCCAGAGATGCAAAATGGATGTGTTTAATTAGAATGAAGACACTAACTATATTTGTCAGTGACTGGAAACCCTTTATGAACTTTCTTTTACTGAAAATGGGAAAAACTTGAATTTGTGATTTCTGAGTTTGATAATTAGAAAGGGTAGCATATGGAGAGAAGGGAGACATGACATAACCTCAGAGAGAAAGGACAAAATATAAATGCATTTATAACTGCTGTGAAGATTGGATGCTACGTCTTTATTTTGTTTTTCCTTTCTTAACTTTTTTGTCTCTTTCCTTTCTTTCCTATTTTTTTACTGTACTTTGTTTTTTTAAAATTTGTATGGTTTTTACTTTGTAAAACGTCTTCAATAAAAATTAAATTTAAAACAACTAAAACAAATCACCGCTGGTCCACATTTTATGTACCTGGGGCAGGCAAAAAAAAAAAAAACATTAATCAGAGATACCACAATTCAAGTAACAGGAACAGGGAAGGGTTATTCTGTTTTTCTGTATTTATTTATTTATTTATGAGGTTTCTAAATTGTACCCTCTGCTGATCAAATGTCCAACTTTTTGTGCAGAAGATACAATTAAAATGACCAATAAGACCAATGAAGCAAACTGCCCCCCTTTATTCAAAGAGGGAGGGACAATAATATTTTTGCTATGCATGATTGTTTTTATCATGACATATTTCAATGGAAAAAAATGATTGGAATGCCATGTATTAAACAGACTATTTCCATTGTACATATGAACCTCAAAGCCAGGAATATATTGAAATTTCTCAAAGCCTATTTTATGTATTTGTATATTTTAAAATGAGGAAAATTCACATGCATTTATATATTTTTCCTAATTACCTACATTTTTACAAGTTTGTCCAAGGAATACCTTTGTGCACAGGAATTTATTAAATTACATTTATTTTATTTTTTTCATGAATACGCATGTTTTGCATGCATTTGCTATATGTGTGTGTGTGTGTGTATATATATATATACACAGAAAATTTATATTAAAATTTTGTTGAGACTTGCATTAAAAACAGTCATAAACGTATGCTATTCTGCTTGTACTAACTCAAGAACTGCAGAGCTTCTTATTGCAAAGTCACCTGAACATGTTTTCCCTGCCCTTAATATGAAGGTACTATTCAAAAGAAGCAGGATCTAGATGAGCATTGAACAATGAATGTATTTCTTTTTATATAATCTCCAGGATGGCATGGTGGTTCAGCAGTTAAGATGCTAGGCTTGTCATCTAGAAGACCGTCAGCCCAGGTTCAAGACCCAAGCATCATGCAATAGGGTGAGCTCCTGCCCTGCACCTAGCAAGTTCAAAAACATGCGGATGCGAATAGATAAATAGATACCACTTTGGTGGGAAGGTAACACCGCTCCATGACATCATGCTGGCCACATGACCACGGACATGTCTTCGGATAGCGCTGGCTCAGTAGCCTTGAAATGGAGATGAGCACTGCCCCCTATAGTCGGCAATGACTGGCGGAATAAAATCCATAGGGATTACTTTACCTTTACCTTTTATATAATCTGCATCATTTTCAAGTAGATTTGAAGCTTTTGTTCTCTATATGTTTTCATGCAGTTTCACCGAGTTTCTTCCTGTGTTGTGCTTTTTAGAGAGACAACCACTCCAAGCCACTGATGCCAAATTGGCACAATTTTTTTTTATTTATTTATTTTTGGTTTTCAGCTATTCTTAATTAAACTGGCTACTGCTTCTTTTTTATTACCTTTTACGGGCCTGCCATTAGCCAACAGATGGGGTCTGCAACAACTTTCACCTTTTTACAAGCTCTTAACTGTTTTGCCAATAGAAATAAATGAATCTGTCGCCAGGTTTGGGCAGCATGGCTAAATGGGAATAGAATAGCCAACAGTCACAGGAAGGCATAGATCTTTCTGAGAACTCTAAGCCCGCTGAGAAATAAAGGCCAATGGATTTAATCAAATTTGATTGCAGTTAGCTATTTCATTGCTAAATACAGTGGATGGAGTATCAGATTTGGGGGAGAAATACATATTCTATTTCTCAGATCAGTCCAAGAGCTTCCTGCATGTTATTCAGAGTAAATAATTCAAACGTATCTAAAGGACTGAAGACATCTGACTTCATGAACGAAGCCAGGCCTGATCTTCTGCCCCATATCCTCAGCCTCCACTGAATGGGCCACTGTCTATGGAAATTCTCAGTCAGCCAGGTCATGATTGCCCCAAAGGTGCTTTTTCAAACGGCAACAGGACTTTCTTTGTTTTCCTTGAAGATGTTTCACTTCTTACCCAAGAAGCTTCTTCAGTTCGCCACTGTTTTTCTGTGAATATTTTTATTAATTTGGACAAGCTGCTTAAAAGGCATAACTCTCTTCGGTTCCTATTCAGTTTCATCTCTCCATCATGCAGTGTGAAAAGTTTGGGATGAAACATCCATATCCCTTCAGCAAATGAGGGGCTTAATGAAGTAAATACTCCTGCACAGAAGAAGGTATCAGATATAAGCAAATACATAACAGGTGGCAGCTTGTATGTTAGAACATAACATAACATTTTTTGTACTTAGAACAAAAAAAATTGACCAAAAATGATCAAGACCTTCTTCAGATACTCTTGAATAAATCAATTAGTGGAAATCTAACTTCTATCATTTTTCATCTTCTTCCATTTTATAGGAATGTAATTTCATTTTTCAAACTATCAAAATACTGAAATTAGCATTTTTTCAAAAAACGCTTCATGGGATATGACCTCACCCTTTTTTCTTTTTCCTTTTTTTTCCTTTTTGAATCAGACTTGACTCCTGGCAATTGCTAGGACAAGTCCCTGCAGGTTTTTTTTTTGGAAGTGGTTTGTCATTGCCTCCTTCCTAAAACGGAGAAAGAGAGACTGGCCCAAGGTTACCCAGCTGGATTCAAACCAAAGGCAGGATTTTCACTCACTGCCTCTTTGTTTCTAGCCTGGTGCTTTAACCACTGCACCACATTGGCTCTCACAACTAACTACTGTGAGTTAGTATAAGTTGCAATGTAGCGATGTTTTGCCCAGATTGGAAATTCATTTTGTCATGGGTCATGTGTCTTTTTTTTTCATTAGGAAAACCTTTTTCAAAGAGTGTGTGGCTGTGCTTATTGTGGATTTTATTTTCTGCCATCTCAATATTGTTATCCTTGTTTTTCTTAACAAATTCTTTCTCTCACATGCAAATCATTGAATCAAATAATTGAGGTGGTTGTCTCTTTCCCAAAATAGAGAAAATAAAGTTTCTCTCTCTCCATCTCTCTCTCTTTCACTCTCTCTCTCTCTCTCTCCCTCTCCCTTTCTCTCTCTCTCCCTCTCTCCCTCTCACCCTCCCTCTCCCTCTCCCCCTCTCCCTTTCTCTCTCTCTCCCTCCCGCTCTCCCTCCCTCCCCTCCATGGAACCACAGCTCTCACATTTTTATCACACATATGCAATGGTGGGATTCAGCCAGTTCGCACCACTTCGGGAGAACCAGTTGTTAACTTTCTGAGCAGTTTGGTGAACTGGTTGTTGGAAGAAATCATTAGGGCAGAGAACCAGTTGTTAAATTATTTGAAACCCATCACTGCACATATGGAATCGATGGCCAAAGGAGAGGGGTGCCTCCATCGGGGGAGTAAAGACACATTCCAGCATGGAATCCATTTGGGAGGAGAAACATCCAATATCTAACCCTTAAGACTATATTTATTGTTTCCCAAGGGAAGACAGTTAGATTCTTATAAACAGGTGTTCAACAATAAAGGATGAAGAATATACATGTCCCAGGATAATGATGCAAGATCCAATCTGGGTCGGTCACCGGGACCAGAAATTTAGTTTTCAGAGCTTTTGGATTCATCCTGGAGCCCATCCTCAGGAAATTTCTCCTGTCGTATAAATCTATAACTTCTTTTTATTTGTATACAATATTTTTGTTTGGGAGTGGCACCTGCCCTTCCTTTTATAGAATAGCCACACAGTTCTCTGATGTTTCCCAAAAACTCAGCATGGTATTTCCCAAGAGCGCAACAAGTTCATCATTACATGCTCTGCCACTTGTCCAATCATGAGGGTATATCATATCACTCTAAATAATTTCATTTCTAATGAATTTCATTTGGAGGTAAGAGAGCAGGTTTAGACTAATCCTAACTCAGTCTGATGAGCATTTTTGGGGTTGGCTTGTTCTAGGATGCTCACAGTTTCCCAGCTGAAACTATGGTTGAGTTTGTCCATGTGTTGTGAAATTAAGGAGTTTTCAACATGTCTCCTGACTGATACTTGTGTTAAATGAGAATAAAATAGGTTATCAATCCTTCCTTCTTTTGAGTGGAAGAGAGATGCAGAGAGTTTAAATGTTGCATTTTAAACTTCAAATGCCTTATTTCTCTGTTTGCCAGTGTGATAACTAACTTTCAGGAGGAGAACTCCGCATTGGGACTGGAAGTTCTTCATGCAACAAAAGCCATGGTGTGCCAGCAGTAGCTAACAGGCAAATGAAAAATGAATCAGCAGCCTATCACCAATCTCTGTCAGCACCTCCTGCCCCTCTAGCTCAACAGTGGGATGCCAGCTGGTCTTCTATTAACAGTAAATTGAAGATTCTTATTTATTTATAAGCATCATTAATCCAGTAGCTTTGAATGCAATTTGTTTCCCAAAGAAGAGAGCAGGCAACGTTTGCTTGGCACCATCAGGGCAAATAAAATGGATGGTTTATTTGAAACCCTACAATATTTAATTGCTGGTAAGTTATGCTGTGGCCAAGAATTGATTTTCTCCTTCCCTTCATTGCCATGACATAAACAAGGAAATAGATTCAATATCATCATTGATCAGAAGCTGGTATTGCTTCAGCATAAAAGAAGCATAGAAATTCAAATGCATAAACATGGCATGACATGCAAAATGAAAACTTTGTGTTAGGAAAAAAACAACAACACCAAAAACCTAGTGCCCCTATGTTTATTTATAGTCACGTTGCAAGATGTTTTTCTACAGTAGAAAGGAGTCGTGTACAACTTAAATCAGACTAACAATACTTGTGACTCATCAAGTTGAACCACACAACCCACCAACCATGAATGTTAGCCAAATAGAGCCTCAGGAAGAGATATATTTTCAGTGCCCACCTGGGGTTCTGTAAATGGGAATGGGGGTGGGGGGGCAGGCTGTTAAGTCTGCTTGCCAGCTGGGGACAGATAAATCTGTCAATTTTGATTCCTCCCACATTTGAATATTTAAAACTTTTAATTTTTTTCCATTGCATTTTTGAAGGAAAGTGTGAATTTTGGCAACTCCTATTTCAGAAATCTGAGTGGTATGAATCCTTCACCCATTTGTATCTATCAAAATCATTGGATGCAATCATTCCTGGCAGGGATAGAGCTCTGTTGCACCAGTTTGATATGTACATATGAAAGAGGAAAAGTCTGTTTGGGAGAGGGGAAGGGAGGGGAGAAAAGGTACGTCAGAAATAAACACATGGCCACATTCATTTAGACTACAGAGAACTAAACTCTGAAAAGCGGCACCTAGGAGTGGGAATTTGCCAGTTTCACTTTCTCCCCCGTTTTATCAAAATCTCAAGATAACTCTGCCCTATTTAATGGAGCTGAACAAAACTTTGAAGGAATTATTTGAACAGATCTTGATCAGATTACTGTGAGATGTAACTTTCCATTATTTAAAATTACCCAAATCAAACCTTCAAGGCAATTTGGAGACTTGATGGACTTTCTAAATTTTCAGAAACATGGCTGCTGCTTCTCTTCCAAAATGGATAAAATGGTGGAAGGAATGCTCACGGTGTGAATGGTTCTTTCATATGGATATGGGTAGCTAGCCAGTGAGTTTAATCTCCTCTGAAAATCTTGCTTGGGAGAAGGAGGCCGCTATGTAGTTTGGGTGTTATTCATCTGCCAGTCTGCTGTTTGGAAAGGTTCATTTGGATGGAGAAAAAGAAGGTGAAACTCTGTCTGACTTTCTTTGCCTCCTGCATATAATGAGGACCTGCAGTATAATCCCTTTTAATTCAGCTTCTCTGCAGTTTCAGCCCTACTCTTTTTTCATTCCATTTCATTCCAGTGGCATTCACCCCACTCTTTCCAAAAACATACAGAAGAAGTTTCTTTACTATTCCTTGTTTGTCTATCTCTGGAAGTAAATGAGTGGTTCTTTTCAATGAGTGAAAGAATCTAAGACATTATATACCATGTATAAGCAGAAGGTATTTCCTTATATAGCACTTTTCACATACATACACATTCATCCACAGAAACATCTTGTTTTCATCAAAATGACAAAAACAGTGTCATGCCACAACTTCCATACTTTGGGAGGAAGGATAGTAATGTCACAATTCACATATTAAAGATTTCTGTAACAATATCATTTTGCTATTTACCTCATTCTACCCCTGGGTGATCCCATGTCCTACAAATCAAATGCATGTGTAAGTGAATACAACTTGTATATTTTATTTATTTAGTTAGTTATTTGTCAAGAATGTATTAGTTAATTTATATAATTGTAAGCATGAATTGAATACATAAAATAGATACAAGTAGAGGAAACATTAGGACAGGGACGGTAGGCATGCTGGTGCTCTTATGCACGCCCCTTACAGACCTCTTAGGAACGGAGTGAGGTTAACAGTAGACAATCTTAGGTTAAAATTTTGGGGGTTTTGAGATGAAACCACAGAGTCAGGTAGTGTATTCCAGGCATTGACCATTCTGTTGCTGAAGTCATATTTTCTGCAATCGAGTTTGGAGTGGTTCACTTTAAGTTTGTATCTATTGTGTGCTCGTGTATTGTTGTGGTTGAAGCTGAAGTAGTCATTGACAGTTAGGACATTGTAGTAGATAATTTTTTGAGCTTCATTTAGGTCATATCGAAGACGGCATAGTTCTAAGTTTTCTAGGCTCAGAATTTCAAGTCATCTTCCATTTGCCAAGTTTGAGAAACACTGGAAGGGATGTCTTCCTCCCTCACTTCTTCTCTCCCTGCTTCTCTCTCTCTTTCATACACACATACCTCCCTCCTCTCTCTCCCCTAACGACCCAGAATAGAAAACTGTCAAGAGGATAGTCATTCTTCCATCTTTCCAAGAGTTTGATTTGAAAACAATTTCTGAAAGTTAGAGTGGGCATTTTGGACATTGGTGTAACACAATTTCTCTGTGGAATCTTTGTTGTACAATATAGAGGCTGCTGAAATGGCATTTCTTCCCTGCTATCTTTGACTTCAAAGAAGTACTGTGAAATATTTCAGAACATTATTACCATGAATTTAGCTGTAACTTTTCAGGATCAATATTCTCTAAATGGTCTCCCATCACTGTTATTTTAATTCCCTTGTTCCCAAAAGGTGGGGGGGGGAGAAAACCTTCAGAAAAGTTGGTGTTTCTTTATTATACTCTATGGTCATTACTTTTAACTAACTGAGTTGCAAATCTGTTTGAAATGATTCCCTGAATCTTGTCACCTTTAAATCTCAGATCACAAATTTGAACCAGATAATGTCACCTACAAATCTTGCCTCTGAAGTAGAACATGGCTGATCTGCACAACTTTACTATTTAATGAAGACTGTTTCCAATTTTGGCTTACTTCTGTATCTCATCAGCAACAATCACCTCAGTGATCCCTCAATTGTTCAGGCCTGTTTTAGGCCACTTGTCATTACTACAGCATTGTGCAAAGAATAAAATGCTGTTCGACACTGGTCCCTGCAATTTATCAGTGCCAGCTGCTTACTCCAAGAAATTAGAGCAATACAGAGTCTCAAATTCCTTCCAGGTCATTCGAGCTTTCAAACATTTCAACATTCAGTGGTAATCTATTTTAAGGCAGCAAGTCACATATTTTTTATAGCTAATTGTATTCTTAAATTGAAGAATAGAATCATAATATTGCTTCCCTGAAAATAATACAATGGTTTCCTGACTGTAATCTTACATGATTTCACATTAAAGTCCTCCCCTTAGCTTTCCATTCCTATTTTGCTCAGTTGTTTACTGTATTTGGAGATTAATTACTTTACCTGGGAAATAATCCACCTAGTTGGAGAAGGTCTGGTTCAATGAGTAAAAGAAAGGATTACCGCAACCTTCTCAAAGTTTCAGAGGCTATCTACACTAGCAATTTATAGCATCTTTCTAGTACAGGTTCTCATTTAGCGACTGCCTTATTTAGCAACCATTCCCAGTTACAGCAGTGATGAAAAAGTAACGTTGCGATCAGGGCCGGATTTAGATGAAAAGAGGCCCTAGGCTATTCCACTTATGAGGCCCTTTCACCTATAGTGAAAGTGTAATTTTAATTTTGCTAACAATTTGAATGTAGGCCCCTCTTGATCTTGAGGCCCTAGGCTGAAGCCTAGTTAGCCTATAGGAAAATCCGGCCCTGGTTGCGATCAATCCTTGAGGTTACAACTTTTGCAGATCTGTAAAACAAGGGAAAGCTGAAGTCAGATCATAAGCACAGCCATGGTTTCACTCAGCCACCACTTCACTTAAAAACTGGATTGCTGGTCCCAGTTGTGATTGCTAAATGCTAAACATTTTCAGTCATGTGTCAACCTAATTTCTGAAAAGATGACGTGTCTCCTAAATTAAAACATGCAAGGCACCACCTATAAGCCCTCAGTGCTATTTCTTTTATGAAAGAAATTCCAATGAAGTGTGGGCTCTTATGCTGTATATGCTGCAGCAAAAGTAATCCTGTGCAGCACCTAGAGAAATGCAAATCATCCTTAGACTTTTAAGCAGATACTTATTGATTAGATTTCTATCTCACTTTATTTTGTGCAATTTAAAGCAGCCCACATAATGTTTCCTCAAACATTTATCTGTAAAAGCTCCCCGTATAATTACATTAACAGTTAACAATTTTTGTGGGGTTAGACCCAGGGGTGAAATGCTCCTGGTTCGGACCGGATCGCCCAATCCAGTAGTGAGGGCAGCGGGTGGTTCAGAGAAGCAAAAATCCCGGGGTCCCCTCCCCATGCCCAGCTGAGCCACACGATCATCAGTCTTTTTAAAATTATTTTTAAAAGCATTTTTTCTACAACCTCTTCGGCTGAAAAAATACTTTTAAAAATAAAAAAAAAGTCTCTGACGATCGTGTGGCTCAGCTGGGATTGTCAGAGGCTTTTAAAGGCATTTTTTTTACAACCTCTTCAGCCGAAGAGGTTGTAAAAGCCATGCCCACAGAACCGGTAGTAACAAATTTTACATTTCACCACTGGTTAGACCCCAATGATGACATAGCCTGAATCATCCCACATTTCTTCCTTACTTCATTCATCGTTCCCCCCAATCCTTCCTAAAAAGAAAGGCACCCCTAAACATGTGTCAGCTTTAAATCTCAGGCCATAAAATTCCCTATATAAGGAAAACAGGATTTTGCAGGATCCAATCTGGGTCAGTCACTGGGACCAGAAGTTTTAACTTCCAGAAGGCTGAAACCTCTGGTTCCAGTGACCGATCCAGATTGGATCCTGTAACA